CCTTCAACACTAGATATTATGGACATATCATAAATACTATATATTTAGTTCTCTCCTTGTCAAATATCCACATAGGCCTTTTCAGTTACTATCTTCATCTTCTCTATTTCTATTGCACTAGTATTCTGTGTGATTCGCTTACAATTGTGACATGAGTTACTATAATCATTTGGTCTTTTTTCTTTTGAAGATCCTCTGCTCTTTTTTGTCAAAGTGCACTCAGGTTGATTAAATTTCTTTAGACAAAGATTTGACAGTATAAAATGATTTTTTTAATCTTCTTTTCTTCTGTTAGTTTCACTCTAATGTATTAAATGTTAGGCCCGTCACTTCTACAGTATGTAACTTCACACCAACTTTATTCTCTTTTGCTATTGTCTGTCTACTGCTTCCCACCAATCTCACGCTATTTATACCTTTATTACGTAATTGTCTGTCCACCTACTATTATCTCGACATCAGTGTATTGCACGTGACGTTCGATATTCTCAACATCAATGAATTAACAGAACTTCCTACAATTGTCTGCTTTTAACTCTTATTGTAACAAAAATTAAACAATAATAAAATATTCACTCAAAACTAAATTAATCAATACTATTTGAATGAAACAGCCTTTTATATCATGACAGTATTTAACCTGTTTTACAAGCTCCTAGTAAGTTGAATTATAGCTGTCTAAAGTACCATTACACGTCCAAGTCTAATGTGACATAAATGTCATAAATTGATAATTTGAGAGTTTTAACAATAGAAATATGTTTCATGAAGCTTTGGTTTATATAATTTTAAAAATTTTCTTTTACTGTTTTACTTGTCACTATAAAGAAAGGTCTCCACTTATGTAGTATTAACATATAGTACTAACACAGCTTTTAATTGGTATGTCAGTTAATGTTATTGGTTTTGATTTTCATTCTTTTTAAATCTTTGTTAGTTGCTTTAAATTGATGAATGCATCAGTGAAAGAGTTCATTTCCATTAAATAACAGGAACACTACCACAGTCTCTAAATTTATACTCTAAGCTTGTGTATTATTGAAATTTAGAAACAACAAAAGATTCGTTCATTTAACAGTTACCTGTTACAGTAATACTGTACACTTTTCCAGACAATTGAGTATTGTTTTACA